CCTGCTGAATCTTTTCGATCTGGGCCTTCAAGGCTGCAGTGTTTTTGGCTTCCTGTCCAAAGAAAGAGTATGTTACTGACCAAACCTTAAAACTAATCAAGACTCCGACAGAACTGTTTGTCAGCTGACAGTAGGCAATGGCTCACAGTTCTTGTAATTGTTGCAATTCCCCTGTCCTTTGCCTGGATTTGGGCCTCAAGCCTCTCGACCTTAGCTTCAAGTCTAGCTATGTCTGATTGTAGTCTATTACCAACAAATGAAAGGAACATACACCATTAGTACATAAATCCTTCCACAAAATCAATGAACCACACTCTTCAGCATGTACAATGAAACCCAAACAGCAAAGGATTTTAATAAATGATAAGTCTGCAAAAAAAAAAAAATATGAACAAACTTGAACCCGCTGAATGGCCACTCAGATTGAAGCCATTGATATTAGAGTCCATTACCCTTACATTTTTTTTATAGACTTTCGACCTTATGAGACTTGTAAAGGAAAAAATATCACCTTTGTCTCTGCTCGTTAGCAGATTCTCTAAACTCCAAGTCATGCTGCCGCTGCTGCAGCAACGAGTACATGCAATTACATGTCCTCGCAATCGAAACCTAAGCAACAGACACTAAACTCGGTCGGAAAGTGTACAACACGGGGCGAGAAACAGCAACGTAGATGACGAATACGAACGCACTGGGTCATTGGAGAACAGATCGAGCGAGGCGGGAAACCCAAATGTGATCAGCGTCTGGTTCAAGTACTTTGCACAATGCTCCAGGTTATCCACATTGGCGAAGGTGTACTCCCTGTTTCGTTAAACGACAAAAACCTCCGAGTTCAAACAGTCCTTCTCGTCGTAAACGTGACAGTAATCGGAGAAAAAACCCTAGGAAAAGAAGAAAACTAACCCCGTTGCCGAGAAACCAGACTGAGACGACGGCTGTGGGTAATAAAGCAGAGGATGAGAGACGAATATGAATTTCTAGAGAGAAACACACAAACACAAGTATAAAGATCAAAATTTTACTCTCAGATCGAACTCTGCATCAGTCGCCGGCATTGTCGAACGGCAACAGCACCTCCAAAGACACGGCGCGACTCTCTCTCTCTCTGGTAGATCTAACGAGGCAGAGAGACAATTCAAAACCAAAGGAGGAAACTTTTTTGGAGAGCCAAAAGCTTTAATCTTTTTTTTTTTGTTCGCTTTTTCTTTCAGTAATCAGGATTTCGAGACAGTGGACTGTGGTTGCCTCCTGTGATCACTTGATCTGACGATGGGTGACCGTGATCCCGTGCGGGCAGGTCCACTGGTTCTCCTCCGTGCTCCACGACCGCGCGACGATGTATGACGGCATAACGGTACGGGATTCTCCTTCAAGCGAGGAGAAACATGGGCCCACCCGTGAAAGGACCCAGAGAAAAATTGCAGAAAGACCCTTCTTATTCGATTGTTTTCAGTCCATGCCTATATTTCTATATGTGCGCGCATCAAACCCTATTTATATTTCAAATACATTCACAATTTCTCGTTGGAGGTCATTTAAATTTTATTCTCACGAAAATGAGTAACTTTATCGAAATGAAAGGTTCGAACCAAAGTGGACAATGCTCGAAATAGAAGAAGAGCTCGAATGGAAATGTAAAGCAAATTATTACTCTGCCTTAAGGGGTAGCCGATGAATACAATTAAATTGTCGAGATACAATAGTGTCGGTCCAAATTGATTCCTGGGCTTAAAATAAGAACAAATGGGCGAAAGCAGGCAATCATGTGATGAATGGAGTTTTGAGGACTAGTTGTTTCAATCATCGAAAGGAGGCAGCCCCCATTCCTCTGGTTCGAACTTGAGCAGCGATTCCAGAACTTGATCCGCGTCGCTGTGGTAGGAGCTGTCTAATCTTGGATCCGGCACCATTACCACATTCCTGCATTTATTAATATACATGGCCGTCAAGAATCCATTCAGGATTATCTAGTTAAACTCAATATCATTCACAAACTAAACTTAATCACTACGACAATTAAGAAAATGTACATCATATTTGCTCGAGCTATTTGGAGACAATTCAGGATTGCAAGAAGAAGAAACACTCACATTCCAGCGTTTTTAGCAGCAAGAACACCAGAAGGTGCATCTTCAAACACCAGAACCTTCCTCGAGTCTACTGGACCACCCTGTGCAATTCGGGAGAAGACGTTATTTACAACCCAACCCAGCGTATAATTTGAACTAAGATGTGGATCCTATGTTCTATTATGTTATAGCTACAAAGCCTATGGGAGAATGTTCTACCTCAAATCTCCTAGCTGCAGCCAGAAAGCCGTCTGGTGCGGGTTTCCCTTGCTTTACCTCAGGATCATCGCCAAGAACTATGTGATGCATCAAGGAGAAAAGCTCTCGGTGCCTTTGTGTTTTAAGCTCAAAATGGCGCTTGTGGGTCCTGCAAACAGATGTTCGAGCAAACATAAGTCATGCTAAAATGGTACAGATACAAGTATAACAGAAGAAGATGAAAAATGGTAGATTGCAATCTATGCGGTATAGTAGGAGACGATAAATATGCTGATACAGAAAATAAATACCCTGTTGCCACAGCAATTGGAATTCCTTTCGCATGGAGATGTTTGATGAGCTGGCTAGCCCCTGCAACAGTAAAAGAGAATCAGTTCACTATGGGAAACGTTGTAACATTGAGGATGATTAATCCATGAAAGAAAAATTTGAAAAGATTGAGATTGAGAAGGCTTGTTGCTGATATGTTTCAGAGATTACTAACTAGTATCTTCTTTTCTCGCCATGGTTAAACAAGTAATACGTTTCAAATAAGGACTACAAAAAAAAGAGAGACGGAACAAGAATAGGAAAGGCCAACTAGATTGAAACAACCTTTGTTAGTTTGTTTTCTTCCCAGATTATGATTAAACATGAAGGCATCACAATTTGTGGACGGGCATCGAACAAAGCGTGTCCAGATATGTGCTATCTCTTTGAACCCACGTCTAAGTGCGGGGACGACGATATAGTACCTGGCATTAGTTCACTTGTGGGGAAGAGGTTTTTCAACATAGACTCCCTCTCTACAAGGAAGTCTTCAGCTGAAAGAGAGTCACTGATTCCGCTTTCTTCAACAAAAACCCTAGCAGCCTCGATCGCCTTTTTTCCCATCATCCTTGCCTTCAGAGACCAATCAAATGTCTTGTTGTATCTAGCAAGTATGATTTCCTGGACTTCAGTGTAAAACTTCTCTGTGTCTGTATTAAAAGAAGCCGAAAGCATGTTAAACTGCCAATGACCCTTTTCCTTCTGCACACATATTGGCACGAGTTCTGCTCACAACACATCAATTGATCGCTAGGCCTCGTATGATATAAGCTAAAGTGAATGATGGTGAGGCCATTACACAATCAAGACTAGATTTCGAAAAATAATGTATAGAAAAGGGCAGGACGATTCAAAATCCTCACATTGATTGACTACAAACCCAACAACAATATGCTATTTGCAACATCCACTCTCTCAATCACTGGTAGATTCTATTTTCCATCACAGTGAATTAGCACCCAAATGATAAAAAGGGAGGGACTTTTCAACAATCAAACGCCCATCACGAGATACCAAAGGCACCGCCTCATACAAAACCGCAACCTAAGCTACATGATCTAACGAAGCAAAGAGCAAAAGCCAGATGCGATGACATTACCGAGAAGAAGACCGTCCATGTCGAATATGACGTGAGTGATGGAGCCTCTACGGGAGAGGACGTGGGCGTTGTCGGCAGCAGCAGCGGCGGCAGGAGTCGACATTGACGACCGGATCGGGGAAGTTCTGATTAGGGTTTGCGGCAGAAGATTTCGAATCGGATTCTTCCAAGCTGAAGGCTTTCTCAGATGGATGAGTGTCGTGGGAGGAGTAACTACTGGCATAGTGAAACGCACTAGCCCAGTACGTTACGTATACAGAAAACCGATTTGGATGCTTAATCGGGTTTCCAGTGCGGGTCTAGGATCCGACCCAATAGCCCGCCCATACACCACTGGTTTTAGCCCATCTTGGATTCTTCGTTCAGCCCATCTAAGAAAACGACGACGTTTGAGTCAGCAACATGGGCCTTTATTTAGGCCCATGGGCCTTGTGGCTTACGACGGCGTCGTTTCATTAGCATCTAAAAAGGGAGAACTGCTGCTGTCCCTTTGGCGTTTCTTCCTCGTCCATTGTTCTCAGATCCGATCGATGCTCGTCGAATCAATTGTATAATCAGATCGACAAATTCTTGATCTGTGGAATATTTGGCGATCATGTCATGCTTAGCGTTATCTCTGCAACCGTCCGATGGATCCGACATCCTTCTCCAGACCCGGGAGTGGTTTCCGCCGGCTCGAGCCCTAATCGCTCTCTCGTATTTTCGCCAGACGCGCCTCGCCTTTGCTGCGTCCAAGCATCAGCAGCAGAAACAGAACCAGTCCACTTCGGCCTCCTCGTCCGCGACGGATTCCGACGACGTCACGGCGGCGGAATTTGTCGGGGATGATCCTCTGGCGGCTGCGAGCGGACAGGTGATTGTCGGTGTGGAGAGCAAGTACCGGGTGGTTTATCGGCTTGTAAACTCTATCTATGTCCTCGGCGTGACCGTGGCGGACCACGACAACTCGATCAATGTCTTTGAGTGTATCCACATCGTGAATCAGGCTGTTAGCGTCATCGTCACCGCATGTCGCGGCGTGGACGTGACGCGGGAGAAGCTTGCGCGGAAGTATGCGGAGGTTTACATGGCGTTGGACATTGTCTTGCGCGGCGTCAGCAACATCCGCCTCGCTGCGATGCTCGGATCAATGCACGGAGATGGGATCGCGAAGATGGTCCACTCGGCTTTGGACACGGAGAATAAGATCCGTGGAGCCGAGCACTGGACTTCGGTGGAGCATCACTCGGCGGAGCACCAATCCGCCATTGATGCGTTCTCTAACGTGCGGTTCGAGCTGCCGCCGGAGACCATCGCTGCCGGAGACGAGTTAGCAGCGAGTTTGGCCCCAGTGGTGCAGGAACTGGAGCAACAGAAGGAAGAGGCGGAGCCTGAGAACAAGGATCCTTTTGCAGCCAGTGAAGCGATCAATAAGGAAGAGGAACTCGTCGGTGGATTCAAGAAGACCAAGGATCCGTCTTCTTCCGACCTTACGCTGGCTCTGGCCGGGATTGAGGTGACAACATTGCCTCCGGCTGAGGCGACACAGTCCACAACCATCAGTGTCGAAGGATTCGAAGGGCAATACGGTGGTATTGAGTTCAGTAACGAGCAAGCCACGCTTGAAGAAACTTTCGAAACGCTTAACGATGCCTGGGGCGGTGGATTGGACCCATCCGAGTTCATGGGTCCAAAGAAGATACCCAAAAAGGAAGGACTGGGTGGACTTGAGCTGCTGCATACTAGTGATCCTAAGGTTGCGGAGGCCAAAGATGGATCAGTCGCAGGTAATATCGAGAACTTGGTTAAAAGGCCTGAGATGAAGGGTCCTGAAATGCACATCTCAGAGGAAATAAGAGCTGAGTTTAGAGAATCCATGCTTGCTAGAGTAGGATTAATGGGTGTGGTTTATCTGAGGACAATGCCACCCAAAACTTCGGGTGATGATAAAGAAGCCGAGTTCTCATTTCGTGTCGAGGGTACTGCTGCTGTAAAGAGATTCGTTATGCAGAATTCTCGAGTCAGTAGCCTAGGGGACGGACTGTTTCATGTAAGAACGGCTCCATCAGAAGAGCCGATACCCGTCCTGAAGTATAGCTTGCTTCCAAGGCTAACCCCTTTGCCTCTGAGAGTCCGAATGGTAAAACGTCATAGTGGGACTTTACTCTCTATGATGATACAATATGTTTCCAACCCAGAACTATTGGAGCCTCTTAAGGATGTCACTTTCATTCTGAAGCTACCAGTTGATCCCACATTGCTGAAGGTTTCACCCAAAGCGATACTGAACAGAACCGATAAAGAATTGAAATGGCAAATTCCCGAGATTCCTCTGAAGGGCACTCCCGGAAGATTAAGGGCACGAATGCCCATTGATTCGGAAAACGGGGAGGAGGAACCGGAAATTATCTGTTATGTGAAATTCTTTGCGCAGGGAAGCACTTCCTTGTCGGGTGTCTCTCTACGCCCTGCCACGGAGGGCAAGACGGATTTCTACGAGGTGGATCACAGGTACGAAACTGGAATCTATATGTGCAACTGATACTGCCATAAAAACTCATTGTTTATAAATCTCTTGTTTTTTTTTTTAGTTTTGGATTGGCTTGTTGTTTGTTCCTCCCTTGTTTGGGCAATTATTTTGAGTTTTCTGTAAGTCTGTGTTGTATCTTGACTTCATCATTCTTCATACTCTGCCATCTCTTTTTGTTTCAGTTTGCATCAGTAGCTTGCAAATGCCAATGTTCATCTTAGGAAAAGTATGATCTTTGCTATATCAGTATATTCTTACCTCTGTTAATATACCCATCCCCCGTAACCTGTAGTTGACTATGTGGGAGAGTTTGATCAGCAGTATACTCTTACCTCTGTTTATATATCTATGAGCCATGAGGTCATTATTATTATTTTATTCTGCTGATTTCGATAAATGTAGGCGCATATATATATATATATCAGCATAAATTAGTATTTTGTATTCAGTGACGAGATCAGTTATGAATTAAATAGAAAGATTTTCGTTACTGGGGATTAGAACGCCTTTACCCATGGTCAATTTTTTTTACTCAAAAATGGGTTTAAAAGAGGAGATATCATTCGGTCCACAAGATTTATAAACTTTGGAAAACTGTAATGGGCTCGTAACCTGTCGAAGCTCAATTACGCTTAATGGGCTCATAACGAATCGAGGCCCATTTACGTCTCAACGTAACCGCCTTTTATATCAGTATCATCTTGGGAGAGCATTCTCTCATGGAATCCGACGGAGCCCTAAGTTCAGGCCGAGATCGATTGTGTCTTGGATTCTTCCCTGTCCTGGCAGTCTCGTTCAGGTGACATTTTTTCTCCGCTTCTCTCGTTTCTGAATGTCTCGGTTCGATCGTTGGAACTTCTAAATATGTTCGGTGCTAGTCTCGTTTTGTGTCACCGCTTCTCTTTCATTTACTCGAATTCTAGGTTTTGATCGGTTGAATTTCTAAATCTATCTCGCTTGGTTTCTAGATTTTAATCGGTTTAATATCTGAATCTGTTTGGTTCTAGTGTGATTTGCTCCGTGGCTAGGGTTTTTGCGCTGTTTGTCGCTGGCGTTGGCTAAAAAAAACTGCATCTCCGAGAATACTCTGGCTCCAGGTTGCATTCGTCTCTGAGAACGCGTTCAGAACTCACATTTGTTTGAAGTCCTGTATCTAATGTTTGTTGCAGTACCTTGATCTACGGTTTCTAGGGTTTTGGATTCTCTTGATTTCATGATTATGTTTTGTTATATTAGTTTAGGTCATCCGCGATAGTAGTGAAGTGTATGCTACAGAATTATTTGATGGAAACAGTTTCATATTCAGAATCTGCTAATATAAGGTCCTTGTCAACCGTTTTACTGCATACTAAGATTGAGACTTTATGTGCAAAAAATGAGAAGAATTGGAGTTTTTAGGAGTTTTTCAGGACTTTTGATTCCTATCAGTTTATGGTTGGCTAGCTTTGAGTGACCTGTTAATCGATGATGTACATGTTGACGTTATTTTTCAGGCTCTACTCGTTCCATTCTCTTCAGTCAAGATGATTCTGATGGAAGTAGATTTGAGAAGAACATAAGGATTTGTGGTTGAAACATGAAAGCCGGAGTATGTACCTTTGCATAAATCAAAAGTTTGACATGATGTGTGAAATTTTATGTTGTCCACATTTTTTTTCCACTGGCATCTTTTTTCCAGATGTGCTATTGCGTTACATATTCTTCTGCTTTTGCGTTTATGCAAGTCACTTATTAATATATCACTTGCATGTTTTGTCGCCTGATAAAATTTGATGCTTTGTTCTCTGCAGGGGCTCATTGAAAAAACACATGCGAGTTCATTTGTGTTTAATTTAGTACAAGGTAAAAAATCTTCTTTATCTTTCCCGTTTCGCTAAATCAGTTACCTGTGGCACTATAACAGGGGGAACCATATGGTAGAATGGTGGATATGGTCTGTCCTTGGCTTATATATGGTTTCCCTTTATTTCTGATATATTGTCAGTCTCTTGGTGTCCCAACTGGTTGGCATTGTACTATTATGAAAGTCAAGTTGATGGGGTTACTTTGGAAATCTCGTTTAGGTTTCCTCCTAAAATCAAGGCATTGCAGCATTACTTTTTTCGATCAGGAGCCCGGTGAGTTCTTGTTATGCGTATTATTAATTTTCTCCTTTCACCATTCAAAGTGTATCTGGTTTTGGTGTACATTCAAGTTGCAAAGAGAGGAAGTAGGAATCCGTAAAATGGTTTAGGTTAGACTGTTGGCTTCTTATTTATATCAATCAAGACGTGTGATATTTGACGGGTTAATGCATGATGATGATGAAGTAGGTTAGTGATAACAAGTGTTTCTTCTGTGTAGGCGCATGTTAAATTTGGCGAACAACCTTCCTATTTGAGAAGTTCAATCTGTCAAGTATGGATTGGTGGTGCCATTGGTCTTAATGTTTCCCATATTTAAATCTGTCAAGTAGCCGGCTAGCACCAATGCTCTGCTGTGTCATATGGGCTGATAATTTCTACTTGCTGTAAAAGTCTTTTTTTTTTTGTGCTAATTCCCGGTTTCTCGGCTGCGTGGAAGCCTAGCAGAAACCGACCCGAACGTCGTCCTTCATCATGGTATCGGTGAATGTCGAAATGCCCCTACCTGAGCTCTACATAGGTTTGTCTCTCACTTTGTCTTACTGCTTTCTTGCGTCCGTCGGGATGTGAGGGTGTAATCCGTCCTTTGTTTTAAGATGTTTTGTTTCTTTGTAGTTTGTATGCCTCTCTCTGTTCCCTTCCCTCTGGTGCTTTGCTATGTTGGCTACGTGCTCATCTCTCGTGAGCCTAATTGGGCCTAAGTTTTACGCCCAAGCACCTTTTGTCGAATATCAATATATTTCATTATTAATATAATATATATTTTTTGTAATTATGGTAGTTTCGAATATTCCATTATTACTTTATATAATATTTTTTTAATTGCAATAGATATATTTTTTGTGTAAATGTTTACAGCGTAATTTTTTGTGTATGGTAATTTAATTTTTTGAATAATATGATCCAAATCTATTTTATTGTAATTGTAGGATTTATTTTTAAAGTAACTTTTGATGAGAAATACCTATCATTTTTAGATGAAATACCTACCATTCGTAAATGATCTAAACGAAAAATATTTAAGATAAAAAGGAACATAAAAAGAGGGAATGTAATGGTTTCGGCAGTCATACGCGCACCAATCGCGCGTGGACGTCACCGCCGTCAAATCGTCAACCTATAACCCAGGGATTTTTACTACTTTTTCGATTTTTAGTTTTCCAAGCGCGTGGACGATTATTCTCCTTTATTTTTTAAAACCCCGCCGACCTTAAGATTTTTTTTTTTTTTTTTTTTTGGATATAAGATTTTTTGAGTCATATGGTTTCAAAATTTTAACGTTTTTCCCTTTTAACGAAAATATAAATTGTCTGATGGTCATAATTTTTAAATTTTGTTTTTTATTTTCGCATTTTTAATATTTCTCTTTGGTAGTACCTATTTTTTATTTTTGTCCATCCCATCTTTTTTTTTCATTTTTTAATACAAAAACACGCATATGTATTTACGTATATCTTTTTTATTTTATTATATAAAAATCTATCATTTTAATTTTTAAAATGGTCTTGTTGCCCTTACTAAAATAAGTGTTTATTAACAGACTCCGACTTGCGAGTGGACTCCGGCTTATTGAAATCAGTGTGTAAATTTTCCTCAATTATATAAATAAATTATATTTTTTAACATTTGTTTAATCTAATATAAAAAGTACTGGTTTTGTAGTGAGTTTAAATATATAAATATTTTTTATGTAATTATGATAATTTCGAATATTTCATTAATAATTTATTTGTCATTTTTTTTGTAATTGGAATTGCTATATATTTTTGAGTAAATGTAATCATTTAAATTTTAATATGATAAATTTATAGCGTAATTTAATGTTTTGAATACTATGATCCAAATCAATTTTTTTTTGTTATTTTAGAATTTTATTTTAAATTTACGATTTATTATAAAAGTTATTTTTGTGTTGAACGATAAAAAATATTTATTGTAAAGAACTTTTAAAAATATCTTTGAGATTACGTTCTTAAATGATCTAACTGAAAATATTTAAAATAAACAGGAAAATAATAGAATAGTTCATTGTTTGGAAACTCATACGCGCACGAATCGCGCGTGAATAACACGGCCATCAAATCGCCAACCTATAACCCAGGGGTTTTGGGTACTTTTTCGATATTTAGTTTTCCAAGGCGCGTGGATGTTTTTTTCCTTTTTATTTTTTAATCATGTAATTTTTCCCTTTCTTTTTTTCCGTTCCCCGTCGACCTTATGATTAATTCCGCCATATGGTTTCAAAATTTTAATGTTTTTCCCTTTTAACGAAAATATCGATGATCTTATGGTTTCAATTTTTAAATTTTATTTATTTATTGTCACTTGTTTTTTAAATTTCTTTTTTGTATTACATATTTATGGTTTTTGTCCACCCATCTTTTATTATTTTTTAATATACACATATGTATATACATTTATCATTTTTATTTTAACCCTATAAAAATCAAATGATTTTCTAAAATGCAATCCTCCTCTTCAGACATAATTTTTTTAAATTTTCTCCAAATTGGGCCCTCTTGGTGTAGGTATCTGATCTCAGTTTTACGCTCTAGCACCTTCTGTCGACTTAAACTTCAACCTGATGCTCTGTGTACGCCTCATAACTTGAAAATTTTAAACATTGCTATGTAATGTGAAATCAATGCTAAGTGCCGGAGCAATTATACTTGAACAAAACGCAAGATTAAAATGGACTTGTCGGCCTTATTGAAATCACTTGCGAGTGGACCCAGCGAACAAAAATGGGCCATGCTGATCAACTAGAGGCCATTATGGTCCAAAACGGAATGGCCGCATGAATATAATTTCCAGATAAATGGTCTAAAATGGAATAGGCTATGATGATAAACTAAAGGCCATTAAGGGCAACTTGAGACGCGAAGTGGAATGTGTTAGGCCTCATTCGGCTCGATAGTAGGCTCAACATGACATGCCGAAGGGAATTTGAACCTTAGTTGGGCCGATATCAGCTCAACACGATACTTTAACTGGACTGATTTGTGCCTTGATTGGGCTAAGAGTGGACCCAATATGGCACGCTAATTAGACTAATTTGGGTCATCATTTATACCACATTTGGACCTAATTTGGGCTTTTTACTGATCCAATATGAACCTAATCGGACTGATTTGAGCCGTAATCTATACCATATTTGGGCTTAAATTGAGTCGACAAATAAATAAGCAGAGCCTAAATTGGGCCGCCATGACACGCGGGCTACAATTTACATTGTTACTGGATCGTACTTGGGCCAATATGGCCATTCGGTATAATGTTGGAACTGAATGGGGCCGCCTAACACCTCGTGGTCTTAAGCCCACAATTGGGGCAGCACGATACCGGCAACATGGCGGCATTTTGTAAACTGGGATTTAGTACAGACAGTTTGGGCCTTGACTGGGCTGTCATTTCTCAAGGAAAAGCCCTGTAGGAACTCAATGGGCGACAATATGAGCAACATTGCACAGGAATATTGGCCTACACTGAGATCGGCGGGCAGGTAGGGATCTCATCGTACACCGTAGGTTGCCATATAGGGCAGTGATCAGAGTTTTAAGAGGCCGTGTTGGGTTGAAAGACTTGGGGTATAGCGGGGATACACAGCCGCAAGTGAGGCTGAACGGCCGCGGTGATCGTGCAGCCAAATTAAACCCAGAGCAAAGCGCGAGGCCATTTACAAAATAAAACAACACATGTGACACCCAAGAATATAGATGGCGAGCGATAGGATCTTTCTCTCTCCGTCGTCGTCGACATTAGCAGGCGATGCTATCTGCTCTATAATCCTTTCTGCTCATGAAAACGTCAGATGACTAACCAAAACGCAAATCGCCACCATATTGATATATCTATCACGAAAATGTAATGTAACAACAGCACAGCAGAGGTTAAAATACATATACCTTCCAACCGTAATACTTCCCAGCAGCAGACAATATCATAACCAGCGTTCGCACAAGCAATTATTACCCCTACGTTTTCCACAACTTACTTTTTTAATAACTGGGACAACTGTCAAAACATAACGATTTTACATACATACGCTGACCTGGTTTCTAATAAAATGGCTCATCTTATTATCCCTCCAAAAGCCAGAATGACAAAACGCAGCGACTCTTTCCACCTAAACATGACAACAGAACCAAACCACATCTCATGAAACACGAACACCATGCTTCGACCGTTGCTTAGCACATCAGCAAATGTGCATTAAAATATAGGGAATACTAAATTTAAAGCCTCATCCTTCATACTACAAATTAAAACAATCTCTACGTTGAAAAAATTCCACCTCCTTAAACCCTAACATTTTTACTAACGTCCTAATCATCCTTACACTCAAAACCTCATGTTAAACCTAGACTTTTAACTTTAACTAAAAGATATATTTTACAGCCCTTAATGTTATACCAAATCTTATAACTTGATAATAACATTAGATTCTCAAAGCTTACGCTTAGTCCTAATTATAACAAAAATTTTAGGGTGTTGTATGAGAATTTCAAAGCCGAATGTTTTATTTCATTTTAGCAAAAATAATAGCTTTAAAATGTAATTCTTCTACATATAATAGATGCAAGAAACCAAAACTTTCTACAGTGACAACCAAAAAAGAATCTAAAATCAGGGGCTCTCTAAATACTAGAGAATGAAAACCCATTGATAATCCTCGATGTCCACCTTTATTCTGTTTGAACATAATATGATTAAGCAAATATAATAAACCCTTCACGGTTATCATGTTTTTCATCGAGGAAAGAAAAACAATCCAGGCTTATATAAGGAATTAGTTCCATACCTTGGGGCTCAGGAAGACGAAGAACACATACCTGTGAAGGGTTCATTCAACTCGTTTTTAATCTTCATCCTTTTAAACATCTCCACAAGTATCCGCAAAGGAACCAGAGGCCTTAGGTCCCAAGGTCAAAGGTTTTGAGCTAGCATCTCTAAATCTCAACAATGCAAAAAAAAGAGACAAATTCCCTCATGTATCATCTAAAAAAAATCACATATTCAAGGTTGTCAAAGACTCAAAATTACAGAAATTGGATAAAAACCAGAATAAATAGCATGAATCACTCAATGATCCATCATCATCCTTTTCAAAAAAAAAATGATCCATCATCATTAAAATGAAAAATGGCTTGAGGACATACCTGCTCCTAAATCAGCACGACACCTATGTAGCACCACAAGCTTCCTATTGCATCAACAGAGGTAGGATACCAATAAATTTCAGCACATATGTATAATATATGTTACACAACAAAGAAAGAAGTCCACTTCAGCATTGTCCAAATGTGGCCCGTAAGTAGGGTTGAACTCGGACTCATACCCGAAGTACTCAGGAATCGAATTTTGATACCCGTATGCGTATCCGAGGGCCTCGGGTGGCCGTGCTATGAGTATTCGACAAGACGTTCGGGTACTCGCAGGTATCCAAGAAAAATGCATGTTTCAACACATTTTCTAAGAGCAAAATCCAGACCCCAACAGTGTATCAAGCCATTCTGCAATTTGTAAGAGTCTAACATGATGCAAAGACAATGAAACTATGGGGAAAAAAACAAGATGAAACATAACACAATCTAGATACCTGAATCATATACCACAGACAGCCATGCTCATCTTGAAAATACTGGAGCCATGATCTCTATAAACCTACACAATCACATGGAAGCCTTATGTTGAATTCAGAAGCCAAATGAACATTGTTTTGCACGAAGATATGACTTTTGACATGTGATCCATCTCCGGCACAGGGAGGCAGATGGGGACTGTTGCAATAGCCAGGTTTCTCCTTGGCAACTCTGGTGAAAATTTTACAGAACAAAACTCATTATTTGTTTGATCAATCTTAAAATGGATTATTTTATCGGTGGTTCAGAATCAGTTCCTTACTTGTGAACTTTGCCTTCGGTTTCTCTCTTTGTTATCTCCCATGTTATCTTTTTCTTGGATTCCACAGCAGGCTGCAAGATCCCCAGACTGTGCTTCTTGATGAGCTCAATGTACTACCTGCTACCTGTGAATGAAAAATATAAAAAACTTAACATACTGGGCTAAATTTGAAGACATAACGACAAAAACTGCAAGACTCACGTTTCTGCGTTGGAGTGTTCAACCCCATTCCAGATGAGTAGGCAGTCATATGATGCAGAAACCTTTAGCGTAACACCTTCAAAACAGAGGGAAAAAATCCCAAGACGCGAAAGGTTTGAAAGAATCAAAAGCGAGCACCGGCATATTTGAAGAACAGAAAACACAAATTGTGTTGGTCTGCTTTCGCACACTCGTGAGTATTGCTCGCTCAGACCATTTGAATTCTTCCCATTCAGAAACTCGTCCATCACAATGGAACAGAACAATGGTGAAGTTTGCTGAATGAAAACCGCAGGAAGACAATATTAGCCTTTTTGCTGAAAACTCGTCAAAGAACTTAATTGATATACATAGCGAATATATATGTACCGAATGGTATACCTCCTCAGGTAATCCCCACAATCTGCGTAAGTTGAAATCTGATTCAGCCGCAACGATACCTGAACCAAGCATCTCTGCACCTCGGGGATTCGACGGAACCAAAATCTGCAGAATCATCACCGAAACCCTAACAACCGAAACCTCAACCGTAACATCGTACACGACCGAAACCCTAACCGGACGAAATCAACGAAGTCGAAAACCGAAACCCTAGCCTCGAAAGAAAAATCGGAAAAATTGAACAAATCGAACGGGAAATCGATCGACATTTCGAACGAGAAATTGAACGACGAACCTTAGGATGAACGCGACGGACTAACGGCGACAGCGTAGGCGACAGCGACGAGGCGACGACGGTCGAGAGTGAGGGGGTTGGTGAGCAACTTGAGTTTGGTCTCAGGATGAACACTGAACTCGAGGCATTTTTGAAATTATTGGAAGCATACAAGGGTATAATAGTCTACAGCAAAAAATACTCGGTAACCGCTAGTATCCGTCCCGAACCCGTATAAACCCGAATACCCGACCCGGTTTTCCCGACAAAATCATACATGGATGATGGATCCATCAACTCCAACTCTCTCCCATCTTATTCAAATCTGCACTTTCTGCCTGATTGTATTTTTTCCCATTCTCCGCATTTTTGTCTTGCTCATAAAATCCAGACCATCTTCCACACACTTCATGGCTTATCTTTGGTCTTAATCATAATAATAATAATAATAACACAAAGTGCATCAACCCAGGTTCAAATCCCAATTGGCAAATCTTATATAAAAAAAAGATTGTGATTTTATTACTATTTTTTTTAACAAAGGAAATAATAATAATAATTTCATGGGTGGGCGGGCAACTCTTGTGTGCGTAGCCCACATTAAAACTGAGAAAAAAACAGTGTCATTGTTTGGACTTTGGCATGCAATTTGGTTATGTGTTATTTGATTTTGATACGAACCATGAGTTGGGGACCCTCTTCTGTCAAATTGTGTTTGTTTATGTTCCTACAAGCCTATACCCGATTTATCACCGATAATCCCACCACTGTTCCACCCTTTTATTAGGAAACAAAGAAAAAAGAGGTTTTGAGCAAGTGCCCTACCAAATCCACAATCAAATACCATGTGTTGTGTTGTGCATATAACGATGGGACAGCCCAAAACGCCACCAATTGGCTCATATTCGCTTACCTAACAAATGAAACCCACTTTTATTGTTCAACAAAAGCATCAATAATATCACATATATATATATATATATCATATATGTATAATAATGGTGGTATGTATGGTAAGCCGATAATTGTGGTTGCATTTTCCATTCCCCACATCCAAAACCCAAAAGTTTCAATTGAACCGACAAAAACAAAAAACAAAAAAAGAAAAGCACAACTTTCACATTGTGTCTATCGTTGAGGACTAATCTCATGTCTCGGCTGTGCTTCACCCTTTCTTGCAAATGCCGTCCTCAAACTCAATCTCTTCCTCTTCGCCATCATCCTCGTTAGGACTGTCCAAAGCCCTCTTCTCCTGCTCCTCTTCTTCCTCGGCCGCTATGAAAATTCCGTTTTCGCCCCTCAATTTCCCATTTTTTACATTCCTCTCCGCCCTACTTCTCAACTCGTCCAACAACTCCCTCAACGCCTTCTCCCTGTCCCTTCGGTTCTTTATCAGAGCCTCGCTGACGTCAGCCGGCGTCATCTCCGCCTTCTCCACCACCTTTTCCAATTCCCTCAAAACGTCGACGTTTATATCTCCTTCCTCGTAGCCCAAGTAGTTCAGCAGCAGGATCTTCAGCGACGGCAGTGTGCAGTAGCTCATGTATATGTGCATGTCCATTCGCCCGCTTCGAAGCAAAGCCGGGTCGAGCTTCTCAATGTGATTCGTGGTGAATACGAATATCCTCTCACTCCCGCAGCACGACCAGAGCCCATCTGTGAAATTCAGCAGACCCGACAGCGTGATCGTGTTGTTATTTCCGGAATCATCGCCGGAACCCGACCCGTTTCGGGCTTCCGGGTCGTAGTAGCTCCTCGGGGTCTGATTTGTGCTGTTCTTCTTCCGGTTCGTCAGATTGATGGAACAATCGATGTCTTCGATCACGATAATCGATTTCGAGCTCGTTTTCATCAGCAACTTCCTCAGCTCGGAGTTGCTGTGAACCTCCGTGAGCTCGAGATCGTAGATGTCGTACCCGAGGTGGTTTGCCATGGCGGCAATCATGCTCGATTTCCCGGTTCCTGGAGGCCCGTAAAGCAAATACCCTCTTTTCCACGCCCGACCCGTTTTCTGGTAAAACGATTGACCTTCAGCGAAATCTCTCAGATCCTCCATGATCTGCTGTTTCTTCACCGGATCCATCGCGAGCGTATCGAACGTGCTCGGGTGCTTGAACGGCACTGATTCCCATGGATAGCCTCTGGAATCGAGTGACCCACCTCGCGAATTCGTGTAAAGAAGCCGATCCTGGTTTTTGCGGCGGATCTCGTTGGCCTTCTCCATGATGTAATCCAAGTAGGAGTTGAGGATTAAGGTTTTGTCCTTCTTCTGGATCCGGAGCGTGAACCCACGCTTCTCCTCCGGCAATGGACGCCAAGCAAACGTCTGGGTCTGACGCTGAGTGACGACGTGTTCCCAGAGTACAGTGACGCCGTTAAAGGTGTCGACGATGGAATCGTTGTTGGAGAGGCCGAAGGTGATAGAGGAGGAGTTGACGGCGCGCGTGAGGCTGAGACGGTTTCCGGTGATGGAGACGGAGGAGCTGAGGTAAAGCTGGACGGCGTTGTAGAGCTCGTTGGTGTTGACGCCGTCAATTTCCGTTATGTCGAAATAACAGTAAGAGGAGAAGAGATGGAAGACGCGGTTGAAGAATTTCAGGACGGCGAAACGGAGCTCTGGTGGGAATATTGACCGCATTATACTCTGGCAAAAGGCCAAGACGCCGAGAAGCGAAGCCAGAGACGTCCAATACTCTTTCATCTTTCGTTTTGAAGATTTTGCAGATTATTAAAAAAAAAAGGTCAGAACTTTGCGGCTGAATCAAGGGATGAGAAGAGAGAGGGGTGATGGGTTTCGAGGAACAGAGATGGGTCTCGCTCGATTTATAGAAAGGAGATTTTCCAGAGAGTTTTCTCTCGGTTTCTCGGGAAACTTTGGGGACAAGAAAAGGGAGAGGCTTTGAGAAGCTAGCTGGTGATGTTGGACATATGGAACTTGTTGACAAACAAGGGAAGAAGAGAAAGGGTATGCCTCAATTTATAGACTTTTTTGAGATTTTCTTGCACATTTTCTTCTTTTCCCGGAAAACTTTTGGAGGGGGAAAGGGAAAAAAAAGGTGGAAGCTTTGAAAAGCTAGGAATTGTGATGGAGAGGGGAAGAGGGGGTTGAGTGGGGCATATAAAAACACAGTGTTTAGGGGGCGCTTTTTAGAACGGGCGATGTTAGAAAGTTGAAAGAGAGAGATTTGTTTTCTATTGGAGAGGGCTAATGCTGGATTTTGAAATTATTGATGGTGAGGATTTTGTTGGGACTTTCCTTGTGTTCATATCATATTATGCCCCAAAATTCTCGTATGCGTTTCGAGTCCTCGGAGTCTTATGGATAGATTCATAGATTTCTTTAAACATAAGATGTTGAATGGTATCCTAAAAAAATCAATTTGGTCAAATATATCTATTATGGAATGCACAATTTTATAATTGATTTCGATTTAAATTACCACAGTAGAAGTTTTCTTTATACATAGGGCATGCAAATCCAGAGAATTAGGGAAGTTAAGTTATTGTCATGCGATTTCTGTCCCACTAACGTATTGGTTTATTAATTTTTCCAACGAATTATGCGTATATCAATTATTAATGACAATGTGTGCGAACCATATGGATTTGGTAATACAATACAAAATCAAATAATTCATTAATTTGTAATAAATGCAATAACATTTTTTTAATGCTGTTCAATTGACTCATTAGCAATTAAAATATGCCAAATCCGCTGCATATTACTTGGTCAAAGTTTGACACGTAAGATTCTCCTAATGGTATCATCTATTTTTGCCTAAGTTCATGTAATTTTATTTTTTTTAGAGTGATATGATATGATCCACAAATTTATTTTACAAAACCATATAATGTCACCATATGTGAAAGATTATTAAAGGGAGGTGACTGGTGATGTGATAGTTGAGGGTGAAAAAGGGTAAAAAGATTTTGGTGATTTGCAGACTCGGAGCCACGGAAGCTGCAATCTGAAATATTATTTTTAAAAAATAAAATTAGGATAATTTGTCACCAGAAATATTGGAATATATATATATATATATATAAGTTTAATTAAAAAAATGCAGGGAATCGACCGAATATGAGAATAAGGTCATGTGGAGTTGCCACAATTGAATCCAAGGAAAATTATTTGCCAGGCAGACGCCAATGCTGCCACCACATATCACTACTTTGAAATTGTGATATGAGAGTGTGACTCAATCCTCTTACTTAAACATGCAAATTATATATATATATATATATATATATATGTGTATACATTAGTCATAATTTCATTTCCATTGAAATGATCAAAGTAAATCCAAACTTTATATAAATAAAAGATTTTAATCGACACCAAATTTAGTTGAATAGTCTTTAAACACTTCAGCGATAAATCTTTGTTGAAAAGAAAACAATGTGTTTTATTTTTTTGTTGTATGCTTTTGACTTTTAAAATAAAATATATGATGTTTGGTAAAGGCATTTGAGAGCATTTCTTTATCTCAAGCCTTTTTGCCTTAGATCTCTAATTTTCCCACCCCCAATGTTTTTCTTTTCCATTACGTTATAGAAAAGTAAAAAAAAAAATATTAACCATCTTTGTAAATCTTATTGATCACAAATTTTGTTCTTTTACTTTGTTGACAGCAAATCCTCTATATTTTCGAATAATATATATATATATATATATATGTGTGTGTGTGTGTGTGTGTAGGAGGAGGAGGAGGTTAATTTTGAGATATTTTTCTTTGTTGGTTGACGGATGTAATCTAAATATTTGAATATAGTTTCGGTATTTTTAATTTTATAATCAGACACATATTTTGATATATTTTGTATTTTTTTAAAGAATCCTAGAAGTTTGTACAAACTTCGTGGCTGGTCATAAGAAAGACTAAATGCATTGTCATCTCTCTCTCCATTTCCTCTCCTTCGTATAAACAGATAGAGAAGACGAAAGGCGTCTTGAAATCAAGCCAAATCTTTCATATAAAGTGGAAAACAAACCTTTAATAATGCATATGCCGTTTTAAGACTCCCTCTCTATATATATACATATATATTGACAATGTGCATATCTAAAATAACCGAATTATGTATATGAGATTTGCATATAGATAATGTTTTGGCATCAATACGTGCGCATTTATATACATATATACCGAGGAATAATCTCCTAAACCTCTTTTTTCTTAGTGCTTAGGATTAGTCCACTTTTTTTTATATAAAAAAATGCAATTTCTGTCAATGGATATAATAATTATAAGATCTATATAGTGCCCAATGGACTCCGAGGCATACCTAAACATGGAATGTTGGTAAATGCAAAAGAATAAAAGTGGGTGCACTAAATTAATGAATGAAAGTGTAATCTCTAGTCATCTTCCTTTTTCCATTGGTTTTAAAAGAGGGATTTTGGCGACCAATGCTCATTCCACCCACCGTATCGATTTCTTATATAATATGAAAGTATACGTGTATCCCTATTCGCATATTTTATAATATTCGTTCACTATGGTATCTGAGATATGCCAATCCCTACCAAGTTACACTGTGACGCTTTACTAAAAACAAACATATTCGGATTTCATGTTACTTGAGGAATATTGGTCGAAGGTTTTTTGAATTTTGTTAGTACCCTCAACAAGTTTCTGACGTATGAACACACGTTAAATATTTCATATCAGTTTTCTTTCCCATGGTCGTGCTTCAACGTACGGTTCAACGGCTAGTCCTAAAACTTTGCACACTAAACCCGGGTTCCCATCTATATTATATGTTATTTTAAGATGATAAATCATATATACTCTGAATTAGTCATTGATACATGTTTTTATATTTATACTCTGAATTACTCATTTTAATTTTCGACAATCAAAAGGCTGTTTTTGTAGGATAAAAAAACTAATGCAGCTACAGGAATCAGATCCGGTTATGGCTAAGAAATCAAAACGTGGGTATGCGTGGATCACGTGCCAGGGAAGAGATGGATGGGTAAGTGGACAACAACAAAAAGGTCGACCCGAAGAAGAGAGAGCAATTGGACAGAAGCCACCTGCTGACACCAGAGGTTCGGTCGCGTTTCAGTCGTTTTCTTGATGGTCCCTCCCTCCTATTTTTTTATTATTATTAATCAACACTCCACCTTTTGCCTACAACTCCTTTTTTTCTCTTTTATTATTGTTATTATAAATGTATTGTAGATTTGACTATTTCAGTGAGCGAACGAATAAGATTACGTCGATCGAACTGCATTCTGATATAAATCCAACTAGAATCCGCCTCGGTACGCGTGATTCTTCATTACGCGCCGCATATTCGGGTTTGAACCGCCGAATAACGTTGGACGCAGAATAAAAAAAAATGGTGGGACAATATTGCACTCAATATCGACACGTATGCATGCATATGTGCCATACGTAGAGAGCCCGATTATAACCGTTTAATAAGCGTATAATTAAACAATTTCGAGTAGCGCAAGTTCGAGAAGATGCCATATCTGGCCACTTAGAATCGTTGTCGGCTACCGAGGCGGATATCATTATCGCCAAACTACACGTAAGCCTGCAACACCACTATCATAGACCCTGCAAAAAGCACTCCCGAAATGTGAGAATCACAAGAAATAAGATCTCAAAATCGGGATTCCCACTCCCGTTATGGGGCCGAATACAAGGATTTCTTTCTCATTATCACACAATGGTTAATAAAAAAATTCCGATGCAAAGCCATGGGACCTTTTTTTGTTTGTTTGGGTGGAAAAGGCTTCTACTCAAGGCTTGAGATTAAGGGCAAGACCCAGCCTTGGTGAAGCATTGAGAGCCTTGGAGTCATATTCGGCCGAGAATGTGATGAGCGACTTTGGTCTCCATTCCCGCTGAACCACCATTCCT